CCAATTCCAATCCTAACCAATTCCAACCAATTCCAATTCCAATTCTAATCAATTCCGACCAATTCTAGAATTGGAACCGAACCGAATTGGAATTGGTGCATGCCTACAGTTATCGAACGGGGCTCCTTGAATTAATGTATTAAATTCTTCAGGAAATCTTTCTTCGAAGACCAACGAATCTAATAGACTTTTCATAGCTGTTTCATTATTACATAAATCGGAAGATGTACATTTGTATTTCAGTGCTTTTTCAGATTTAATAATAAATACAAAAGGTTCCAATACCATTTCAATGTTAAGGAAAAGTTCATCACGATCAGAATTGTCTCTTTTTGATTTTCCTTCACCATATAATGAAACGAGACTAATCGAAGGATTTTTGTACCATCTAATTTCTATCCAACATTCATGGTTAGATACAATTTGACTCTCATTGAGCGAAGGAAGCGTCGCACTTGTCACAGTATAATTCAATGTATGTAGATAGCTTTCGTAGCATTGCAATGCATCGATTAAACAGAAAGATGACAACAATAACAACGACAGTAATAAAAAGACGGTCTTAACCATTATTTTTTTTCTTCAGTAATATACTTTGTGTTGCGAATAATGATGTCTTCTATCTTTTATATACGCATTTAAAATAACAGATAGATAAAGAGTCATACGGATAAAGAAAAAAAATTCTCTTTTATGCTTCATCATTATCAGCTCTTGGTAAATATTATGCTTCTTCATCAAATGCTTCAGATGACAGATCAGTTTCTCTAGAAGAACAACAATAAACAATTTGTAAAAATTCAATTACATGTCTAGTGTAGGTGAGGATGTGGTTATGGATGACGAATACGAAAAGTATTTATACCCACACTCTCACCCGATACAATTACGATGAAAATTCATAGAAGTAAATATGGATAACGAGATGTATGACCACGTATACTGAGGATATGAAAAAGTATAGAAGTTTATTTTTCACTTTTGTTTCTGTCTATACAACATTCAATTCAGTTAATAACTACTAATGCATGTTTTGTAAGAATTTGGCCAATACAAAAGTCAAATTCAAACTAGACATATATACACTCACATCCACACGCTCAATATTCAATACTCGACTTAGGTTTATCTTTCCAACCGGTTTGTTCCATATCATTCAAATCTCCACCTTTGCCTGGTCGTGAGTCATCAGCTGGTCTTCCGCTACCATTCATTTCAGGTCTCCATCGCCAAGCGTCTTGAAAGTGGGGCTGTAGGCGTTTTCCTTCTACCAAATCTGCCACATATTTTCCGATTACAGGAAGCATTTTAAAGCCATGTCCCGATGCGCCACTTGCTAAGATGAGTGTGCCATCATAGTCTGGATGCAGAGTGATTAAATAATGTCTATCTGCTGTATCTGTACACCAACACATCCGAGCATTGTGTAAGGGTATATCGGCCCATTCTGGTTTCAGTGAGAGTAAGAGATCATGAATCTCTCGAGAGGATCGAGTAGGAATAGACGAGGATTGAACAGGCACGCTAATCCATTTTTTCTTGCCATCAGCCATTATATTTTGGTAGTTCGTAAATCCAGGATACTAAGAAAAGAAGTATGTGAGAAATAAAACAAGCAAAATGAATAACTCTTTCATTCTTTCTTACCTCGTTGCACACTTTGATCATGCCAGTATCGTGATCTGGTTCGAAAAAGAAACCTTTTTCGACATCAAATACGACTGGTGTTCCTTTGAGTTTGCGACGCTCTTCTTCATCTGTAACTTGAATATGGGCAAGTGTCCATGTTTTGGCCACGAGCTGTCCTTGCATATCGATGAGTGTGTCAATCCAAGCACCACAAGCAAGAACAATCTTATCAGCAAACCATTGAGTACCGTCGACGCACTCGACACCAATGACTTTCGATTCGTTGGCATGATAAATGAGTTTGTTTACTGTTCCCAATACAAACCTAACTCCCATTTTCACGCACTCGTCGCCTACTGTTTTCATGGCATTTCGAGCATGAACCCAGCCACCTTCGGGATTGAAAACACCCTTCCATCCCGTCATAGCACCAGTAAGATAAGGAAAAAGTGCTTTGATCTCTCCTGCATTGTCTAACCAACGGACTTGATCCCGGTGTGGACTGGTGGAAAGTTCTTGATAGAGTTGAAGTATTTCCGGCACATTAACGGAAGAATTAGCAAGCGATAGGCGACCCGTTTCATGAAAATGTATCTTGAATAGCGGATCTGTTTTCCATGCATGCATTGCTATTTGTGATAATTGCTGCATGACTGGATCGTCGACGAATTCTGATCGAACCATTTTATTGAGATCGTTACCGGCTGAATCAAGGGAAGGATAAGACCATTTGTCTAGGCAGGTAATGTCTTTATAACCACGTAGGGCTAAATGGTAGCAAGTGGAAAGACCCCAAGTTCCACCACCGACTACGAGTATTTTTAATGAATCAAATTGCATTATAACAGTAACAACGTAGAAATGAAAAGATAAAGCGTAAGAAAGAAAGAAGAGGAGTAATAAGTAATAGCTTGTCACAATGATTGTTATCTTTTTCTCTTTCTTCCACATTGACCTATTGCGTTTAACGGGAGAAAAAAAGAAAACAAATTATTCTTCTTATCGAACTGTGGTAATATATATTATATAACATAAAGGTTCAGTAAGAAAAGAGTACTATCTTTGTATAAAAGTATCATTTTCATTTGATTATTGAGGATATCTCTGAGCTGGAATTCTAAAGAGTGTTTAAAAATTTTCTCAATAAATAAAACGAAATGCATCGGCAAAATTAAGACTCTACATTTATCTTAATTTTATAATTAGATTGAACTTGTCTATTAATTGTGAGAGTTATCGCGATAAAATAGACCAGTTTGGCGATTGTTCACGTTGGGTGTGGGTTTGGATGTGAACGACTGAAAACAATTGGAAACGGCACGCACCCCTCAGTAAAGATATTAACATATCTATCCTATAGCACGTGGCATCTATTATTAAATCAGCTGCAGCTTAGAAATGTTCAGAATTTCTATTTTCCCTTGTCTTGGTCAAAACCGCGATTCGTTGCCCAAACCTTGGCGATTTTGAAGACATGGGGACTCTACAGTGAAATAGCGTCGAATAAATTACACGCAAATATTGGAATAGTTTATAGTTAAATAGAAGACAAAGATTTCAATTGTATTGATTAATACTTCTCTAGAATGCTAATAGTCCTTATGTTGTTTTCTCTTTAGAATCAAATCTTATTCAAATATTACTTTAGAAGATTTAAAGTATTAAAAGAAAAGAAGAATTGAGATTTGATATCTCTGTCATTAACATGAATTACTTCATACAGTACTCTAAATATGTCTGATGTTTTTACTCGAATATATTTTTTATATCTTCAACAAAGTTCAAAAAATGTTTTTATTCATCGGTATCATTGTTTGTATCATGTTTGCACAGACAAATGCTGGTAAGTATGACAAGCAATCAATGTCGTTTTAATTTTCATCCTTTTATAGGTATTACTGCCGATCAACTTGAAGAGATTTTGCCTCTTTCTGAACATTCGGAATATTTAGAACATCTCAATTCAGCTATGGAAGAAGGTGATATTACTACTTGTACACGACAAGCAGCATTCACTGCACAAACAGCGCATGAATCAGCTGGGTAATAACTGTGAAAATTATCCAGTAAGTATTGCTATCAATGTTGATCGATTCTTTATAATTATCTTTAGGATGGATGTTTATATAAAGGTCGCGGTCCACTACAACTAACACACAAAAGTAATTATGAAAAAGCAGGAGAAGCATTGGGTTTAGATTTGGTTGGTGATCCTGATCAAGTTGCTGAACCAGAAGTAGGTTTCAAAGTTGCAGTTTGGTTTTGGAATGATCATAATCTAAACTCGTTGGCTGATGAAAATACGTTAGATGCCTTCAAGAAAATTACTAAAAAAATCAATGGTGGACAAAATGGTGCACAAGAACGAGAACGATATTGGCAAAAAACAGGAGAAGTATTGGGATGTGCTGAACGAAAGAAAAGTAAACCTTTACCATTCCATATAGTGTAGATATTCAAACAGTTCAAATTTTATTTTGGGTCGCTTTTCTCGTCGACGAGTACACAGATGGTAAATGGAAAGAAAGAATTAGATCCAAAAAAGATTTATTTGCTTTTGTTGGAATGCTTTTTCAAAAGTCCATCAAAATAAATCTTATTTGAAAAATATCATGAGAAAACATAAAGGTTAAATATTTGTTTTTTAAGGGGGTGGGTGTCGGTAAACAAATGATATCCACATACACACTCTCTAATCAAACAAGGCTTATCGACAGCTCATAACAAGAAACGAAATGATTACAGATAAGAAAAAATTTTTATTGACAATTGATTTATTTAGTGTTCATTGATATAAAATGACAGCAATGTCATCCACGCTGCCCTGATTCCCCGCACCCTGCGAACGAGTTAGTGTAACAAATACTGTCATCGCACGAGCGCCGATAGGCACGAAATCGTTAGCCTGCTGAAAGATGAATGATGTTATACTTGATCGATCCACTGCGTACACCGGTCCGATGCTAGTAATATTACCTGTCATCGTGTTGTTTGCATCATTAAAAGTTACAGAAACTACAGCAGTATCATCTTGATTAATATAGCCACCAATCCATGCCGAAAGATTGAATTTCACACTTTGATTATCAATGAGAAGGGGGCTGACTTCATTAATCAGATTGATTGTTTGCCACATTGATGTGGACGTTGATTGCTGACCATAGAAGTAGCATTGACCACGATCACTAAATTAATAGAAAAAAAACTTGACATAAAAGACAAGCTGATATTCGTCTTACCTAGGTCCCGGATCTGAAGAAGCCATACAGCCGGAAGTTGGATTGTTATAGATCACTTGAGTAATTGGTCCGTTATAGTTCCATCCAACCGGACTAGTAACACCACCACTTACTTGACAAGATCCAGTTTCGGCATCACCATTAGTTACCAAATTAATATTGAATGCTAAAGAAAAGTATCTTTATTAATCAGCAAGAAAATATCATGTGATGGATGAAACATTTGTGCAACGTTCTCCTCGAGATAGTTGGCTTCATCACATATAGTATAGTGCAGAGAAGAAGATTGTGCAATAGTTCTGTGAAGTATACTACCTGCAGTCGTAGTTACACTTGTTGTAGTTGATGTAGTTGTTGTCGTAGTTGATGTGGTGGTTGTGCTCGTGGTTGATGAGGTTGTAGTTGATGAACTCGTAGTCGATGAAGTCATCGTGCTGATTATAGTGGTGGTGGTACAAGAACCTATTATTGTAAAGTTCATGTTTATTAGTATATTATTACTCTAACTTTCAATAGGATGAAGAATGTTCAACTATGGTAAGATACATAACCATACGCACTTTGAGTTTGCCCTCTAATACAAATGGTAGAGAATTAAAGATGAACGAAAAATTTCTCTCTTTGCACATTTAACGGGAACAAAAAATAGGTGTCGCATATCTTTACGATTAAGATTCACGAAATAAAACGAATTAATTTTACTAAATGTCATTCTATATTTAAGACGACAATAAACTATTTGTATGCGAATTGTGATTTTCATTGAAACAGATAAAACAGATAAAGTGATCGTTGACAGATTTGTATATAAATATAGTTCTTTTGTCTAATATACAAGTAAATTTTACCTGGTTTAACTAAATACAATGCAAGTATTGTTGCAAAAGCCACACCAACTAGCAATGCTGCAGTACTCATTCCGAGTAGAAAAGGTGTGGAGAAATATCTACAGAAGATTTACTGAATTGTTTAGTTAGAGAAACAGACCGTGTTTCTTACGAGCGCCCACTGTTATCCGATGATGTTATCCAGTGATGATGTTTCTGATCATTATTGCTTATTTTCGACTCTGTGTCGATCAATTTTGGTTCCCAGACACTACGTTGATGATGCTTCATTGTGGAATGATGCTGTTGGGCAATAGATCAATAAATGAGAAGAAGCAATTCTGTGCGTCTATTTTTATACAACGAAAAAGAAAGAAATGATGTTGATAATTCATCACATTAGCATTTTAATAAGCTTTACGACTATTTGTGCGAGTTCACATAATCAATTCTGTTCTTTTTTCTTCGTCGTTGGAAAAGTGCATCGACCAATTTAATAATCAGTGATGTTGAAGAATCCTTGTTAATGCTCAGCATATAGCTGCATATCTTATTCTCTACATCGCATTATTAACTAGAAGCGATGAAATATTATAATTCAAAAATGAATATGCATTTTCGTTACTTTTTTCTCGATTGAATACCGAATCAGGCAATAGAAATGATGAAGCGTCATAGATTTTAGGGTGTGGGTATGGATGTGAGTTTAGGTATAAAGACAAAACTCTCTGAGCTCACACCTACATCCTATTATCTATATGACCTATCCCAATGCATTATCACAAAATGTAACTAATATCAATAATCTGATATCTATATAATGAACAATAAACCACGTTCATAATTCGCGTATACATATCATTTGATATTTTTGAGTGAGTAGCTGTCCGTTAGCGAAAAATATTCAGTACTCATCAATAATTAGACTCGAGATATATATTTGTACATTCAAAATTTTCATTGATTAAATGTTATTGGTGTTCGGATTCGTTCATTAAATAGATTCAAAGCATTGTCAACATTTTCAACGTTTTTCACATCAACAATAAATTCTACCCTATATCTTTTGTCAAACATTACATTAAAAAAGATTGTTTTTCTCTATCACAACAATAATAAAACTCAGTATGCAGTTGCATCGAAAGAAAATATAAGCTGCAAAGCGATTATAGTTGTTAAGAGGATTAAAAAATAATCATACCATGCGCACATATACATTCGTTCTTCATCAAATATTTAATATATCACATAAAAAGGTAGATGCTTTATTCATTTATTTCTTCAAAAAATCGACGTATATTCTGATCAAACGATCTTTTTTCGTATTTAAAAAAACATACCATCATGCTTTACTCGCGTTCGGTTATACTTTTGGTGTTTATTATGTTTGTTTCCTATGCGAATATGGTGGCTTGTAGAAACATTATGGTAGATCAAAACATTGAAGGTCTTTGTGTCGGTGGAATAATGGATGTTTGTGGTGGTGCAACACTCCATATCTATAATATAGATGACAGCCGATGCGCAGCAAATGCTTCCTGTTTTTGGGCCGGAGAAGCGAAGGTGAAATTGCTTCTTTCTAATAATGCGGGTTCAAGTGTTGTAGATCTGATCGTCGGTAAAAAGCCTCAAAACAGTGCTCAAGTAACTCTCGGTACTACTGTATACACTATTACCCTTGATGATGTTGTTCCATATCCTACAATACCAATGAATAGTAATGCATCTGAAGCTCTCGTTCAAGTCACATGCACATGAACGTTTGAATGAAAGT